ATGAAGTCATTCTCTTTTAACAAAATAAATAATGCATATGAAAAGACGCAACCTATGAGGATGGAAAACTCATACCACGAGTATCAATGATACCTAAACGAGGCTCCCAAAGACGGTATTTTGCAAAGCTTTTTGCCATAAAATAAAAAATTCACAAAATATAACGACATAGTAATCAGTCAGTCGTCGAGTGGACCGCTATATAGAGCAGACGTACTGTTGACGAGTAAGGTGGCTAAGTGATTTTCATAAGACTTCAGTGAGTTGTGTGTGAGTATTTTCAATATAAATAAAGTATATTATTGATTAATTTTCATAAACGGAATATATTATAGCTATTTTCGATTATTATTATACATTTTTTTTTAAATAAACTTGATTTTGTAGCTCACGGAATAATGTACTTCAGATTGTTACCGGTGACCAATATTCCAGTTACATTGCCGTAATAAGAAAAAATCAAGATGAATTATTTTTGCTATTCATTTCGAATTGCGTTCAGAATAATTGAAATGTTTTTTTGTTTTGAAATGACGGAAAACCGTAGTTCGTTAAGATATAATTACTGTATATGATTTTCATTTTCTGAATACGTATAAATTATGTATGAATTTTCATAAAAATCTAAGAAAATATATTCACATGGGATTGCACTAAAATCAACGTTTATTTCTAACTTCCTTTTCGTTATTGAAGTTATATATTTTTATATCATAAAAACATTTTTCTATTTTGAATATATATAGTTATTGATAATTATCATGAAGCAGTTTGTAAGATATCATTGCTATTCTGCCTCCCGGAATAATGTACATTAAGTTTGTTATTGGTGACCCATATTCCGGAAGTATCACGCAATAAGGAAAAATCAAGATTATTAATTTCTTGTGTTTATTAGGAACTACAGTTGAATCTATTGAAAAGTTTGCTTGTTTCGTAAAGATGGTGGAGTATTTTGAATTAGTTTATCTCCGTCGGAAGTTGTAATAATTTAGATAAATATATTGAAAAATATACACATCAAATTGATATAGTATTGTTCATGAGAGTTGATCCAATTACTCGATATTAGGTATTTATTATCATTCGAAAACAGTATTTTTCCAAAGAAACAAATATTTAACATGTAAATGATAGATTGACCATCATTCACTCATTATAGAAAAATGTACAGAATATTCAACTTTTGTCCCAAATTCGTTAATTTTCTGATAATAAAAATCCATAACTAACTTATTCTAAAAACACTTTATTGTGAGAATTTCACTAAACAATTTTACAAAAACGCAACACGTGTTTCGCCATACAATGGCTTCTTCGGGCGTGTCAAGACACTCCATAATCCATTTTTGATCGAAGAGAATATAAAGAAAGCAGTGGCGTTATTTTTTGATGGCCATGTCTCTCATTTATCCCTTCACCTGACTGAATTTTGTAAAGAAAATGGAATAATTTTAGTTGCACTTTTGCCCAGTTCCCCCCATATATCTCAACCTATGGATTTTGCAGTATTTCACAGCTTGAAGAATGCTTGGAGCGAAAATGTGTATTTTTGGCGAATGGAAAATAATGGCAATCGCCTGAAAAGAGAAGACTTTGGGTCAATTCTTGAAAAATTCATTATAAAGAGTCTAAAACCGAATATAATCAAAAGTAATTTTAGCAAGACCATTCAATGAAAATGCTGTGGATTATGCAAAAGTATTGAAGTCTTCACTAATGCATTAGATTTATAAGCTGGAAAAAGTAATGTCAATGTCGCAGACACAGTTACAGCAAATCTTCAAAAAATCCATTGCATTTATTGACGTATTTGAAAACATTTAGGAAACCACAAATTTACTGCATTTGAACACTAGTGGAGTCAGTGGTCATCTCAATGACCGTGTTAGTTGGTGTTGGCCTGAAAAGCATATGATGCTGAAGAAGTAGTGAAGAAAATTGATTGTCCTGTTCCTGTCAACAAAAGAGGTGTCTTTTCTTTTTCTGACTTTGACTAAGTTGTATGAATTTTTTTTAGGGAAAATTACTGTAATTACTCAGTATTATAAATGAAATCACTCCTTTATTTGGAATTTGTTCGAAATACTCGTATTTGTAAACAAGTCTGTAGTGTGTGTGCTGAACAGCTTTTAAAAACGACGATTTTATCTGTGGCGTACTATAGACTATGCTGTAGACGACCCCTCCCGATATAGAAGGCCCCGACACTCTGTCGAATGAGGCCCTCATGTCCCCCGTTAACGGATGAACAGTTTTTCCATCCATCCCACCCCAGCCAGGTAGGGGTACACCGTGAAGGGCAGTACTGATGTCTAAGGACTTCATACCGTCAACATCCCCTCAGTCATGAACCCATTTGTCCTTCTTCGACAAAAAACAGCTAAAAGGGTAAGGGAGCTGGGCTCCAACCTGATTGAACTGAAGACGCTGGCTGGTACTACTTTGTATTAAATGGTTCAAAATGACGGATCTTCGACAGATCAGCCAGAAAATTTCTATTAGCGTTAATAGGAATGTATCGTGGTTTTCCGTTTTTTTGGAAAATAAAATCTTGTGAATAGAGTGATCGCATTAGGGATACAATGTGTCATAATCCATTCTCAAATAATCAAACCAATCTCCAGGTTCTAAATGGAGTTCAGCCAGTAAGTTAATATGAGAAAACTGATTTCTTTTCAATAACCATATTTTGGGCCACTTTCTTTGTTTCTTTTTTTTTTGACTTTATGGCTAATGCTGCCGCCACTGCACACAAATATATTGTTTTCACCATAACGCGCATCAGTTTCAACTGTTTAATAAATCCAAAGTCTGTGTGCAAAACAGGTTCGTCATTTTTGTTCGATCAGACTTGTTCATCGAACAAAACAGCCAGTCAACAACGCAGTCTATGGGTACGGGTACCTTTGCGTTCATAATTATAAGATTTTTTTGTTACGACCGGTTTCGGTTTATTAAACCATATGAATTTAGTACTCTCGTATTATTTTTATAGCATCTATACTTATAAATGCGAAAGTCACTCATTTAACACTCATTCATCTCTGTTTGTCCGTACTGCTAAGTCTTAGGAAGCTAAACCTTGGTATATAGGTGCTTCTTAGGTATCCCGGGGGGTAAAAGGGTGAGGAAATG